TTGGTCCAGTCCTCTCACTCTCACGTCCAATATGGTGGGCTGGTCGATACAATAACAATCGCATCTCGAGCAGTTGCGTGACATGTTTCATATAAACTGCAACACAAAATATTCGTTATCCAGCTCTCCTTACTGTGGATTTCTTATTTACTGCCGGATGATTTGATTTATTCAGCTCTAACGTACCAGGGAAATCGGATGGATCACAAGTCACCTGGACGCCTACTCACTACAACTTGTATGTATCATCCTGCTCTTTTACTGATGCCATCATACGTATTTACAAGAGCTAGCAAGGCTATCAAAACTTTAACCATAGATCTTCTGTGAACTGTCGTTATCATTACTCTCACTTCATATTGCATCAAAAAATGGGTCCGACAAAATATATAGACTTTGCACGCTTGTGAGTATAGTATGTATGGAAATATGACGTGAAAAATATAATTCGGACGAAATTAAAGCATCTCTAATAAAGATTGTCATGTCTAGGTGAGAACATCATCATTTGTTCTCTATGATGGGTACCAGGTTTTCAAAGAAAAAAGATTATCTTTATTTGCTAAACCCGGGTGTATGTAGTGCTAATCAGAGGCCTTCTTAGAGCATTTGTAAGCTATAAGTCGACGTATTTCTAGATAATGACACTGGATTGGCATTAGTGTTTCATTTTCACTCACCAAATACAAAATAAAGGCTGTATGTCAAATATTTGGTCTGTTTATATCATGAATTATGCTCAAAACTCCATTTTGCTTGGCCTTAGAGGGGAATAGAGGGTTTGTGCCAAAAACCTAACAAACCTTAATAAGCCAAATTTTCCTCAACTAATTTTGATAAATAGGTCACTAAAGTACATACTGGATTTGATATGAAAGTTACGCAAGAAGGCAGGTGAGTGTTATGGTTTTTTGAAAAATGGCAATTTTGAGTAATGATATTGATCTCAAATTTGACCTAAATCTAGCCCCAGGCCCCTCTCTGTCAAATCACTTGAGAACAAAGTTACATTTATGAAGTAAAAGCTCCACTGTAGTAGAGTCCATGGTCAAATTTGTTTGGCCGCACAATTTACCAATAGCCCATTGCAGAAACGTGAGAGGACTTATATTGATTACATTGAAAATCTAAACATTTCAACTAAAATGTTACTGAATGAAAAGCTACTCAGTCAAGGTTGAGAGTTTTCAGCAGAAAAGTGTCCAAATCGGAGCCTTGCAAAAGTTGCAAAATTCCATACAAACCCTTAAAATGTTTTGGCCTGTCTACCCAATCCATACAAAACTCTCTATTTTAGGTGATATTTGAAGAGCTGTCATTTTGCCATTTTCCTCCTCTAAATACTTCTATTCTTGCTTAAGACTCTAAAATTTAGTTGATCTTTCATTTGAATATCTTAGTCTTTCAAACAAACAGAAACAACAACAACAACAACATTGACTTTATTTTTTTTTAAATGAAAGAAATGAAGGCTTTTGTAGCCCGCAGTTAGCAAAGCTATTCTAGGCGGGCTACCTAAACAAACACTGTATAGGCTCTCACATACACACACACACACACACACACAAACACACACACACACGCAACAATGAAATAAATAAGTAAATGAGCAAATAAAAATAAATAATAAATAATAGTAGTGATAATCATGAAAGCAACCACACTCTTTGCCAGTCCTCTCACGTTTCTGCAATGGGTTATGGAGTTTTATAGCACTTTCAAAATGCCATCTAGAAGGATAAATTTTTGGTGCTCCCCTCATTGAAACTCTAGAACAAGCAGTCAGAGAGGTGAGCCAAAGGGGCTTTTGAAATATCACGCCCCAACTTTAGTGTCAAGTTTCAGCTCAATCGGTTGACCACCACTTTTGGCCTCTGGAACACTTTCTCAGGCAGGGACACTTCATGCCTCAGAGTAGGCCTTTTATGACTCAAGGCTGATAGTTTCGAAAGAAACTGTTTGGGGCTGCGTCGGTGGGAGTAACGAAATAATTTGGATATATCAACAAAGTTGAAATGGTAAATTGGCCACCGTAATGATTACAAAAGCTGACGTTTCGAGCGTTAGCCCTTCGTCGGAGCGAATAGAGGAATTGTGGGTTGTGTGTGCTTTTAAAGGCAGAAAATGGAGCTACGTTATTGGTGGGTGCATGGCAACGAGAAAAACATGAATAAATTAGTGGAATGAAAAGCGTTCATTGATCCCTGTGGGATTTAGACTGCCGGTTTGAAAGATGAGCTTTTGTTCAAGATTTTTACGGCTTTCCGTGCCACCTAAGTGCAAGGAAAGACCGCAGATTGCCATATGTTGCTTAGAATGATT